TCATTGAGAAATGTAATGGAATACGTTACAAAATACATTTTGGTGCATGTATTCTGTAATCTGTAGTGGAATACATTTTAAAAGTAACCTTCCCAACACTGACTATATGAGCTCCAAACCTTTGTCTTTACATTTTACAATCACATTTCATGTTAAAATACAGTGTTAAATGACTCAGAAATCAAATACTACTAAAATTCTAAAGTTTTTTGACTATGTAGAACTCAATAAGAAATAAAGAAATCAGTGGTCATTTTACCAACTGATGTGGCCTTTTTGACACATTAACAAGACTAAAACTGACACCATGAGTGTTAATACAGTCAGTAAATACATTAAACAGTGGGATTTTGTATCAAATAGAATCAAGAGTTCTATAAACAATTTTAAAGCAAAACACCAGAGAACAAAAACAACTCACAAACAAGCAAGAAAAGAAAAAACAACTTACATATTGATTCACTGAAAAAAATGCATTGATTTTGTTTTGCTTTTTGTTTTTTAAATCAAATCTAAAAAAAAATTGGAACATGCTTACTTTAATCTCAGAACTACTGAATATAAGGTTCTCAGAAGATGTTATTGTCATCATCTCACTACAAGATTCTGGAACAAGTAAAATGCAGGAGTAAGGTTGTCCTCACAGTAAAGAGGGTATCCTCAACACAGAAACAAAATGACATAGGAAATTTGATTTGTATACATTTTGCTGTAAAAGCCTGATTTGAGTGCAAGAGGAAAATCATGGTTAGTTGCACTAATATACAGTATTGGACCTGACTTGTGTAATATAATATCACTGTTAAGATCTCTTTTAGAAAGAAATGCCATGCCCTGCAAATCTTAACCACATTCTCATTAGTTTGGCATTCAATTTATGACCATTTGCCTGCTTGTAGAAAAATAACCTACAGTAACATTTAAGCAAACAGTTGGAGCAACTGTCAAAAATGTCATTAAAAACAAAACAAAAAACACGTACTTTTAACTTAAGACTATCAATATTAACTTCTATCAATATCTCTGTTTCTACACTCATTTTATAAGAGTGTGTGATGTTTGTTGTATATTTGCTGCTATGACAACTCAGTTTCCCTCTGGGATTAATAAAGTTTCTCTGATTCTGATTGACACAACACGTCAAACCCTACATGCAACTTCTGCTTCTGTTCGGTATCTCTCCAGAAAGGAATGAAAACTTCTTTAGCATGCCTTCTATTACTGCCAACTTGAGAAAGGTGAAGAGGCTGTCAAGAAGGTCAGCTGTGAGGATTGAAGGGGGTCAAAGGTCTCTGGGTGAGCTTAGATTGTGCGAGTGTTCGCAGTCCATCCTGAAATCTGAATCATAATCAGAATGACCTTTTAAAGTATTTTTATTGGTGTATGAACTTATTTTAAAATTTGCTATTTACATCTTTTTTTAAAAAAAAGAAAAAAAAGAACTGATAATATATAAAAGAAGTGTATATCCAAATCTACATTTTTCATGTAATGTAGTCACCTGTGGAGGCAGTTCTCTAGCACAAAGAACTATCTCACCAAATCTCAGAAAACAAGGCAGTCTGCATGGGTTTGAGTTACTCATCAAATAAATATGTACTTGTTCCTTTGAGAGGAACCGATTGCAAATGAAATAAACAAATGAAAATAAATAAAATGTTACAGAGATCACAGTTCATGATATTTAAAAGTTGCAGTTTGCGATTTATCCCTCTTGAACATTGTAATTGCTATTGCATATAAGATTGGAATATGATGGCAAGAGAAGTAAAAACACATAAATAGCACTCTTATAAAATACCTTTTAAACAATCTGCAAAACATGCATGAAACAGAAATGACGATTTAAATCCAATGAGGCTTGAGTAAAAATAGGCAAACCAAATAAAACTAAATGCTCCAGTTCCATGGCTAAAAATGTTTCCAACCTTTTTTTCTTGTACAAAAATTTAAAATTTAAAGCTATTCTTTCCCACGTTTTTTTTATTTTTATTTATTCATTTATTAATTTTCTGGGCTTTTAAAACAAATATTTTAGATATTATCCATCTCTTCTACAGTGTTGTAGATATTGACCCATTTACAATAGAGCTGAACTGATGTCTTCTAGCAAGGGGACATCGTTCCAAACTTTATCCAGAAAAATTAAATAAGAACAACAAAAAGATTAAAACCAAGCTTTAGTTAAGGCTAATGTTACCACAGGCAGATTCATGTTAGTGGCATTGTGGGTTACATAAGTCATGACTGACTGAGAATCACTGAGAATCTCGGTCTCTGAGATTAAACGTGAACAACACGGGGAGCTCAAATTCCAAAAGCCAACAGAAATTAAGTGTAACAAAGTATTTCAGTATAACATAAAATAATCCAATAAAGGGAAATGAAACTTAAAAAAGTGAAAAATCAAGATATGTATAAAGCAAATTAATTAGAAGAAATGAATATTGTCATTTAATGCAGTTAGAAAAGATTATTTTCTTATAACAAAGCAGGAATCAGGGAGAGAAAGTGTTGACAGGCAGGATGAAAAATGATATTAATCAAACGTCTCAGTGTCAGAAGCAGATAGACCCGGCCCTGGGTCAACCTTCTCCTTGAGCACAAAGGCTGGAGCAAAATGACAGACAAGCACCATCAGCACCGTCAGACTTACATCCAAGGGCAGATTTTGGTAAAAATTCCACAGCTTCACCTCAACCCCACTCTAAACCTGAAAAACAAGCTTCAACATCAACCAATCTCCCCCAGCTAGCACAATAGAGGAACTGCTCTGATTTTAATGCAGACTTAGAAGCTACTTCCTTTTCTTCCAGGAAGGAATGAACCACAACACTCATTATTCCTGAAGTGGAATTTAAACCAACAGAAACTAAAATAAAGACTGATTATTTTAAAGTGGAGACACACCACCTCATCAGGAGTCAGTGGCAGGTGGTCAGAAAATGGCATCACCCTCAGCCTTACAGGGTTACCAGCAGCATATACAAATGCCAAAATCACGCTGTATAGCAACTTCACCAGCCTATGGCTACAGAGATGAAGGATATTGGAGAGACAGACAGCTGCAGAAGGTGGAGGGAGAATGAATGAAGTCTGTTTTTAGTGTGGGCCACAAATCACTGGGTTAAAGGTTGTCCTGAAAAGCACAACACTCAGGCCGAGTGACTCGGGGCAGAACTTGAGAAAGAGAAGGGTCCTCAGCATAGCAACAAAAAGTAAAAAATGAAAATAAGACACACACACACACGCACACATATAGGGAATGCATTAACAAGCCTACTAATACACACACACACAGAAGCAATGCAGGTTTAAACGTTCCAAGGATTTCTTAGAGGCTGACTCTGAAATGTATAAAGATGCCACAGTTCTGTCTCAAGGGATCCCTGACAAGTATAAACACGCACTCAAATTGCTGCAGGATTCACATTCTTTGGACATACGATAGAAACCAACAAAAACAGAGTTGATAAATTACATCTATTATAACTAGCAAAGATTTACTAGATTCTCTTCATTTGCATGGTTGCACGGTGGCATGGTGGTTAGCACTGTTCTCAGGTTCGAGTCCACCATCTTGTGGCTCAAGAGTTGGCAGTTCGTCTTGTAATCAGAAGGTTGCTAGCTCGAGCACCGGCTCGGACAGTCTCGGCTGTTGTGTCCTTGGGCAAGACACTTCACCTACCGCCTACTGGTGATGGCCAGAGGGGCCGATGCTGCGATATGGCAGCCTTTGCTTCTGTCAGCCTGCCCCAGAGCAGCTGTGGCTACAACTGTAGCTGCCTCCACCAGTGTGTGAATGTGAGAGTGAATGAACAGTGGAATTGTAAAGCGCTTTGAGGGTGTCGAAAAGCGCTAAATGCAATCCATTATTATTATCTCACCGGGCCTTTCTGTTTGGAATTTGCATGTTCCCCTGTGTTTGTGTGGGTTGTCTGCAGATAGTCCGGCTTCCTCTCACAGTCCAAAGACAGGCAATTAGTGAGGTTAGGTTAATTGATGATTCTTAAATGCCCAAGAGGTGAATGCAGGTGTGAACCTGTCTCTCTGTGTCAGATTACCACACCTGTCCAGGATGTACCCTGCCGCTCATTCTATGGCAGCTGGGATAAGCTTCAGCCCCCTCATGACCCCCATAAGGGCAAATGGAACGAATGAATGGATGGACTAGACATTCACTTGAAGCTCTGTGACAACAAATGCATCCAACTAATCTCCCAACATGGCAGAACAGAAAGGCATGTTGCTAGCTGAACAAGGAGATGTGTGTGTGATGTTTAGTGATACATGTTGTACCTTCTTCCATTCATGGCTCACAAGACATTTTATAGAGTAAAGTAATCAAGTTCCAGGTCGAGAAAGATTAGGTCCCAAAACCAAACAAGTAAGCAGGTCAGTATGAAGACGGGTAAAGTTCTAAGTTTATTTTTGAAACTATGACATTCCCCAAAGAAAGCAATATAAATAATAGCAATAAAATGTCCAGATATTTTAAAAAAAGGAGACAAAATAACTATAAGGACACAAGGTAAACAATGCTCAACAACAATTTATTGGTGAAAAAAAAATGTCCCCAGTCACAATCAAGGCCACACATTACCAACAGATTCCTCGAGGAATAGGATGGGCCAAAAAAAGATTCCATCTCAGCAAACCTCAACTTAAGAGGTCAATCTGACCACTGCTACACACACACAGCACACACACACACACGCCTGTTCAGCTATCTTAGTGAGGACCTTAATTGACATAATGGTTTCCCTAGCCCCTTACCCTAACCCTAACCATTAAAAATGAATGCCTAACCCTAACCATAACCTAATTGTAACCCTGACACTAAAACCACATTTTGAGCCTCAAAAAGGCCTTAAAATGTGTGAGGTGTGTGTGTCCTCACAAGTGACTGTTGGTTCTCAAAAGTATAGTAGAATGCAGATTTTGGTACTCACAAAGATAGCTAGACAGGAACACACACACACACACACACACACACACACACACACACACACACACACACACACACACACACACACACAGTGATGCAGTGCCACTAGTAACTGGTTAAAAAGCTTACAGGATGTTGAAACTACATCCATTGTAGAAACCCATGTGTGAATTCAGCATATTGATAATTTAATATGAATTTACCTAAAGGTAAAGTTTGAGTGTCACCCATGACTTGCATGAATCCTCATGACATCTGAAGTACAAGTATCAATATATTAATGCTGATTACAGCAGTGAATGTTTAAATGCAAAAAGTGGGATACAATTAACCCGTGTATAGCATATATTCGATGCTCACAAGATGTTTTGCAGAGTAAAATGTGCACTAGCTCAGGAAAGGCAAGGTACCATTAGCATGTACATTTACTGGATTAAAAATACTGGGGGCTGCCAGGTCTACCTCTCAGCCTCCTAGTAAAAATATCCATGATAATGAAAATCCCAAGAGAATTTCAGAAAAGTTGACATCTGACGTTGAGGTTAAGGTCACAGAGACTCAATCTGAGAGTTTTATTAGATGAATCCATGGTATGAATTTGAATTTCCCAGGTGACTTCCTTCCGAAGTTTTAGAAAACTTGACCTCTGACCTTAAGGTCAAGCTCACTGAGAGCTTGACCTTAAGGTCTTGAAAGTCATTCAAGATTTTTTAGTAACTGCACCTAGGGTATGAATTTCAAAATCTGTTCAAGTGACCATGTTACTGACCAAGTCAGTGCCTTTTCAACTTTACATTTCATAGTGTTTGAATTGGTGGCAAACAGACAAATACAAAAATGAGTTCTTTCTCGGAGGAAAAATCGAATTCATAACTTGGGCCATTTTTGTAACAGGGGCCGCCATGCAAATGTGCAACCCCCCCCCCAAAAAAAAGAAAAAAAAGAAAAACAACAACAACAACAACAAAAAACTTGACATGTTAAAAATGTTGATGAGGAAAAATAGGGACATTAGTCTTGTGAAGCAAGAAGGCAGTTCTGGGCATGTCCAGAGATAATTTACTTAACTGGATATTAAAGGCTGGATCCAGTGCCAGAAAACACACCAAGCAGCTGGCACTGGCCTGGAACCACAGAGTTGCTGAGCACTAAGCTGGAATCAGTGACATCAGTTGTTATGGGGATGTAAATTTACCAGTGATGTGGATTCTGCTACTATGTAACATTCAGTTCTTTGTCAAAATAATGGATAGTTCTTGGAAGACACCAAGGCAGAAGTTGCCCCTTTATGGCACAGGAACCAGTAACAGTGGGTTTAGGTCTCAGAGCAGATGTGCTGAGACCTGAATCCAAAGTGTATCTCGATCTTTACAGAATGTCAGTCCTCACTTAGATTGTCACATATTGTCAGGCAGTTGTGCAGGAACTCTGCACGTGGAAGATGGTGCGAACATTCGCATTAACAGCAGCCATTCTATTTCCATTGCAGTGGAATCCAGGCTAAAGATATAAGGTATGTAGCTATGGCTCTACAACAACCGTGAATGGTTGCAAGCTGTCTGCTGCATGTCTGTTTGTTGTCTGCCTATATAATGACTTTTACATAGTTATAGACAGCAGCAGTCTGTTTTATGAGAGACTGCTGGTTTCTCAAAAATTGTAGTGGCTCTGATTTTTAAGGAATCTGTTTTGAGCCCCAGCCAGCAGGTGGCCTGGTAATGGATGCTTGGAGGTACCCATTTCTTCGTTATGGTTTTTCTTCCTGAAGAAGAAAAACCATAACGAAGAAATGTCCTACAGCAGCGGTTCCAACAGTCGGAATGAGCCAATGTGCCTCAAACAGATTCTCTGGTACAAAAGAGAAGAAACAAATAAAATTAGAAAAAGAAAAACAGCAGAATAGCAAAAAAAACCCAAACTGTTTGCTTTACTGGTTATGCAGTACAGCAAACTTTATAAACATGCAGTGACCAACAAAACGGTCATTGCATGTTTATAAGGAAAACAAAATAGACACAGAATCTCTTCATTTTAGAGCAGAAATTGCGACATCTTATTGTGGTGGAGGTGTTTGTATGTCGTGATCCTAGGAGCTATGTGGTTGGGTCAATTTGCCATGATACGGTTTCCCAATTGTTCCTGGGTGAGGAGACCAATAAAGAGCAATTCAGAAACCATTGGTTTCTTTGCTGTCTTTGCAAAAAAACCAAGGAACAAGTCTACACTTGGGGGGAGGTTTCTGGGCTCTCACCCTGAAGCCAGGCTCGGGGAGTGGCCGCCGGCTGGGCCTTAGCCCGTGGGGCTGGAAACAGCTACATGGAGGTGAAAAAAACATGATCTTAACTGCTCAAAGGGATAGCTGAAGCGCTGGCAATGGGGCCAGAGTTGTAATAACCTGGAGTTTTCATTTTGCTAATCACAGTAACCCTATACTTCATTATATCTACAGAGTGTAACTTGAAAAAATGTCTAACCATGTTTTAGGCAATCACAACCTAAACTGTCCGTCTGCGTTTAAGTTAAGCAGCACACCATGAGCAACACACAGAGTTTAAGAAAGCCTTTCATTTCCTATAAAACTGTGACCTTTTTGGGATCAACAGTACAATTTGACCATATATTCATTATATTTCAGTAACCCTACATTTAAATTAATTTAATTTTGTGTCATTTAGATGAGGTTTGATTTGTTCTCTTCAATATGTTATAAAGTCAGCTATGGCAGCCTACCAGCTCTGTTCCCCATAGTGTGAACTATGGAATATTGCAGTTCAAAGAAACTAGGCGTTGTGAAGAATAGAATTCTCTAAAGTGAAGTCGTATTGAAAGCTGGCTAGATTATAATTTATGTCCCGGGACAGCAATATATCAGGGATGAGGGGGAATCCTGCCTGCATGGCCAGGACATGAGGAGCCAAAGTGAAGGGGACATCCCCGAGGAGATCTGGAAGAGTTGAATGTGCTTCCACTGCTCGAGGTCTCATCGTTGTCCCCGTGTTGTGTGAAGTTGCTGGGAACCTTGTGTCATACTGCGGATCTGGAGTTGAGCAGGACGACTATGAAGAAAGGGAGAGATGTTCCTTGTGAGTGTACAATGTTGAAACCAGTTTTGTGCAACATTTTGCCCGAATTCTGCCCTGAAGTTCAATTTATGTCTTATTCTGCTGGATAAGATTTAGATTACTGGGTTGTGTCAGACACTTGTGTTAATGTGGAGGCTCTGAATAGATGCATCTCACAGTTTTCTGTACAGTGAGACAATGGCGCAAACAGTAATTCACAAACATGCAGTTACAAGTATAATTAGAGTCTAAAGCAAAGTGCCTAATTAGACATAAAGCAGTCAATGCTAAAGTAGTGAGGCTTGGGAAGTAAATGTGAAATGATCAGAAGGCGAGCGATGAGGCTTCTGCTTAAGCTCAGTGTTAAAGAGCTTGAAGAGTGATCGTGGCATGCTGCTCACCTTTGATGCTTGCACTATGACATTTGTTGAGGGCTGTGTGACGTTCATGGTTTGCAGCCTCTGTCTCTGTTCTTCAACTGTCTCGGCTGGAGATCAAACAGGACAGACAGCTTAATGTTTACTAGAAACAAATACTGAAGAAACAAGAAGAAATAAGGCTTCTCACCCAAAAAATATATATTCTATTCATTAATAAATATTTATTTACCTCATTTTCAAGATGCATGTGAACATGAAACATCATAATCAGCAAACACAATTAACAGCTATGGTATCAATTATAAAACAAACAAATTAATTAATTAATTAAAAAGTTAAATCATACATTCCCTCGTTCTTGAGTTAACGCGTTCAGAAGATTTTCAGAAAACTTGACCTCTGAGGGAAATAAGGGAATTCAGAATTTGATGGCAGCAAGAGGTCTTAAAAGTCGGCAAAACTGGGAGACCAGTGTATAGCACAGAGTCACGTTACAGGTCAGTAATGTGATTGGTACAAAAAGACCGTCACAGAAAAGTAAAGCTAGACAGAGATCCACCAATCTTCAAAAAACTACAATAAAGAGAAGCCAAAATGAGACAAATATGGCCTCTGTGTCGAGTCCTGTCAGTGCTCTTGCTGTATCGTTTTAAATTAACTAAAGGTTGCTCAGAGAGTTTATACGGAGAGTTTTTCTTTAAAACCAACAATCAAAAAAGAATTACAGTAGTCCAAACTAGAGGTAAAAATGCATGAACAGGATGATATTGTGCAAATGGAAGAAAGCAGTCCTACAAATGTGTTTAATAAGCAAATTAAAGGACTTATCCTGGTCACAAACTACTCCAAGATGTCTCATAGTGTTACTAGAAGCCAAGGCAATGCAATACCTGGTCAGACACTGTGTTTCTGAGATTTTTAGGTCTAAATACAATAACCTCAAATTTATCTGAATTTATAATCAATGTGTGTGTGTGTGTGTGTGTGTGTGTGTGTGTGTGTGTGTGTGTGTGTGTGTGAGAAAGAGAGTGAATGAGAGCACATACAGGACACAACACGCTGATTTCTGGATGTCTGACTTTTAAAGTGTGTGATTTAGTGAAAGATTGTACTCAGTATATTGTGTTGAGTAAATTGTGGTTAACAAACACAGATTTTTAAAGCATTTAGACATAAAGGGAGTATGCTAAAGAACGTGCTAATAAAATCTGAACTGAATGAAATGTGAAGTAAATCTTACTGATATGTGACTGAATGATCAAATGTAATTAAATTTTCCATGTTAACAGAGAACGATAGAGAGAGAGATAAGGTGGGGGTGAAGATTAGTGAATCTTATGTAAACAAGTGATGGGTTAAATAGATATTAGAGAGAGAGAGAGAAGGGTGGGGCGAGTGGGGCACATAAGTATAAACTGGGATGCCTGGAGGCGTTGTGGGTCAGTCGAGATGAGCAGTTCAAAGGACTGGATTCCAGAAGTTTACCGTTGGAGATTCCAACAAAGGCGCCAAGGGGAGTTTGTCCACGGTGGACTCACAGATTGCATTTGGCCCTATTTCATCATTATGATCATCATCAGGGTTGGATTATAATTCTGAGAAGGATTTGAACTTCCATCGTTTTCTAAGTGGAAGTTGCAGCTTCTCAAGACTTCCAAGCTGTTACCTGCTTTGTTACCATCTTTGAGAAGATGTGGAATCTATCAAGGAAACCTGGTTTACTGATTATTCCCATTAACACAGAGCAGTGAGGTGGAACACATCTTCAGTGCTGGAAGTGGCCACCACACCACCAACCTCTCTCCCCTCAAAGATAAGAACAAAACATGCATATAACCTTAAAGTGAGTTAATTAAATTAATAGAATTTAAGTGATTTGATTATTTTTTTAAATGTTTTTCTTTTTATTATTTTATTGCTCCTGCCCAGCTGCTTTAATAAAAACCTGCAATTAAAGTCTAAACTGTCGACATTCCCTTTTTGACCCTTTGTGGAACAATAAAGGTATAAATCTAAGTATTAATCTATATTAGTTATAGATTAATACAGGTGTTACTTATAAGATCTGACCTGCAAGGCTACTCTGGTTTGTTCATATCAGGCCAAGCAGGGAAGACACTTGGACGTCAAGGGAGTCAGGCTGAGCAAGTGGCCTCAGCCACATTGACTCCAGAAACCTGCACTATCTGGGTACGGATAACAGGATCAGGGATTAGACGTTTTAATGAGACAGCTGGAATCAACTTTCTGTATAGGGGTTTTGTGGGTCTACTGATCAATAGGGGATGACATTTAAAAGAGGAGTGAGTGTCAGGAAGTCTAAAAGGTACCACTTCTGTTTTTTCTCTCTCTTTTTTTAAACTAATGGAGTATTAAGAGTTAAAAAGAGTATTGGACTTAAAAATGGATCGTTGGGGGATCCCACAAGTGAGGCGAGCAGGTGTTGAAGAAAACTCAATTAACCTGACAGAAAGCTTCTGCCTGTTAAATAACATCTAAACCATCAAAAGCAGTGACTCAACACAGCTCTCTAGTCTAGAGATTAGGATAACTGTCTCAGCACTTAGGTCTAAAAGCGTGAGAATCGCCCAAGTCGCTAATTAATAAATGACCATTAAAAACTTTTAAAAGTGCTTGTGCTGTGCTATGATGTGGTTTGAAACCAGACTGAAATGTGACACTATTAGCTTTCAGAAAAGCCTAAAGCTAGTGGAAGACAACTTTCTATAGCACCTTAGAGAGAAAGAGCAATTTAGAGATCTATCTAAATTGTGCGTTCTGTGCGTTCACATTTGCAGTTTTGTCTTGTTATACAATATTTAAAATGTTAAAACAACAAACAAAACATTTTTGGAAATATTTGTGGGTGTTTTCTTGTTTGTTTGTTTTTTGTACCACTTGAACAGTGGCCCTCACAAGAGGTGACAGTGCCAGCAGTGGCTCACAGCTCATTTAAGTTTGAGACACCAGTCAGTAAAACTGTGTGTAGGCTCTACATAAGAGCAATGCACAACACCACTGGTCTTTTGTCATGCAGTACATGCTACAGGGTATGAGGATGGTTGAAAGGAACAAAACACACAACTCCAACCATATTCATCCAGAAATGCATATACTATTATATATTGTACATACTGTATATTTATTGGTTTCAGATGTAGCCATTCTTGTATTTTGCTTGTTTACATTGTTGTATTTGCACAACTCTGTTGCTTGTGAAGCTCGCACACAAGAATTTCACTCACATGTGCTGTACCAGTGTACCTGCACATGTGATGTGACAATAAAAGTGATTTGATTTGATTTGATTTGACATTCTGGAGTTGTGAGTTCATTTTAACATGACAGTGCTTCCTGTCAGAGGTGCATACCTGTATGTGAATGTGCAGATAACCATACATCAGTAAGAAAAACTCTTAAAAATTTGTAAAACAAGTTGTAAACTTCAGCTTTATATATAGTTTCATTTTAATATGTTCCTTACCAACAATAACAAATCCTCCATCTACTTCCTTGTCTGGGGTTGACTTCTTTGAGTCCTTACGCAGTCCAAACAAGCTCCACATGATAAACCTGTGTAAAGAAAAACCCAAAAAACCCAAAACCCACCCAAAAACAGAAGAAGCAATAGGTTAGATGAAGAGCCAGTGCATTATACGTTTCACATTCATTCATTTTATCATGCTTACTGTCGAGAAAGCGTAACAACAGACTGATTCACTCGAAGTTCAAATGTCAGTAAACAGAAACAGCAACCTTCAGGTTGTTATCTGAAGGTTAGTTTTGTAGAAGCTGCAGGGAACCCTTAGGAATGTTCTCAGGTTTTTACATAACCTGAGAAAAGTTTTAGGATTGTGCTTTAGTTTCTTGTGTGGTATGCAAATGCAAGTGATAAATGTAATAATGTCATGAAAAAATATATCCATGTCTTTGAATAACTCAGTTAACTGAGGAGACAGTTTCCCCCTTTTTCTTTGTTTGAAATCACTGAATTTGCTACTAGACATTTAAATCTGTACACTACCTGACTTCTACCACAGTCAGGTAGTGTACCAATTTTTAGTCTAGAAAAGGGTCTCCCAGCACACCCTCAAAATATGTTTGGATGTGCCAGGTCTGGAATTCCAACATGTGAGTTCACAGGCATTACCTTCAGAACAACAAGGGTAACATTTCAAGGGAAAACTGCTTAAATGTAACTATTTTTGGTGCTGCTAATTTAACAAGTTGATGATTCTGTCATGTGTTCCTTACTTTGTGTGTTTTGGTGCAGCCCTGAAGGTGTACCTATCTGTGACTTTTACCAGTGTGAGAGCAGCAGCACAGAATCCTTAATATTTGTTTAAAGATAAATGTCCTTCTGTTGGCACCTATGATTTCCAGCAAACAAATAGCACTACAGAGTACACTATTTGCACTTGTAAAAAAATGTATTCCTCATCCCAGCTTAATGGTCGCCTTCTTTTTTTTGGCTGCTCCCTCTTTTAGGGATTTTAACAACAGATCATCTGCCTCTATCTCACTCTATACCCAGCATCCTCTGCTGTCACACCCATTCCAATGTTAAGAAACACAATTTTTCTTTTTCATTTAGCCTCTGAAACTGGATTCAAACTGAAAACCTTCAGTTGATCTACCTTTTAGGCTATACCTGTTACTTGTAGCTGTCCACCCTAACACAGCAGGCTTTAAAACTAGCTCTGATCCAAAAAGCAGAATCCATTCTTATTGGAATGCAACCAATATTGTTCTTTTTTTCTACTTTGAATTCAAATGGTCTGCTATTGAAGAGGTCTGACTATGTATCCCATACATATCAGGTATATCACTGCTTACAGAAGATCTCAAGGAGCCGCGTGACAGGAAGAACACGAGATAGAAATGAGTCCCTCAGCAAGTCATCTAAAAATACTTCCTCATAAAGACATCTACTACACCACACCGTAACTTCGCCACGATATATGCATCCGGTTCTGTCATCCACTTATCGTTCTGCCATGCCTAGATGTTCTGCCACACAGAATATATCTTTCTACCCGCCTTTATATAATATATATAATTTATCAACATCCATTCTTTGACTTGAGCAGCCACACTGTGCTACTAAACGACTGTGTTGTTACACCATAACTATTATAGGCTGACATTTCATGTGATCAGTGCTGTGAATATCTGTTAGTGACAAATAAATTCATTAATAGAAATTACAGAAATATTGCACTTGCATTTGTTCAAAGTTTATGCTGGTTGAACTGCAGCAAACATTTAGAGAAGCAACCAGGAAAATATTAAACAAATATATTAAGAAATGATTTTATGCTGAAGAGTGAGTGCAGGTAACGTATTTCGGTTCTGGATACCATCTTTGGGCCATTGTTTTGTCTCAATCCAGTTAATTTTTTTCCAGTCATTGTATTGGAACCACAAAAATAAAAATACATTATGCGTAGTGAACCACAGTATATTTCATTCGGTATCTTCAATGTGTGGAATCCCATTTTGAAAGACGCATCTCTTTAACTTCACAGAAGTCTGCTAACGACTTGTGAAATGTGTATTCTGCTGAGATCTCACTACATATTTACAGTCTCGGTGCTCTACGGGACTATTGCCTGATATTCTCAACAGTGGAGTTTCGCTAAAAAAAACGTTCACAGAACGTCCTTGTTTGTTGAGACTTCACATCTTTGTTCTGAAAACTGACGATAAACGTCAAATCCGTTCTACACATAATTTAGTCAAAGAGAAAGCCGAGGCGAACGACGTTGAACCACTTTAAACAAACGGGCGTATTTAAGGTTTTCATGGGCATATGAATGTAGAAATGCATCATAACTTATTAGTGATACATTTCTTTTAAAGTGACCCTGGTCGCTGTCTACCCTTCGGTCGTGTTTTGAGAGCCCAAACAACAGCCATGGCTCTATAGAAAGTGAAAATGGCACTCTTACTATCGTTACTTGTCGAATTCAGAAAGCCTTAATAAAGTCAGTTCTTGTTCCTTTAGTGTTTACTGCCAGTTATTGGTGCCACTCGTTTACTTCCTGTTCGTGTTACCTTCGCTCAGCATTACAAAAAATATCAGAATATTCTATCATATTTTCGCCCTTTAGGATCACCCGAGTTATTATGACGGTGAATTCACTGACCTTAAAGCGGTCCTTGTCCACGTAGAAATTATCAGTATTCTTTTTTTGTAAAATTCGTGCTGTCAGCAATATGTAGCGGAATGATTCGTTGTCGTTTCCGCGGAAGAAAATGTTAGAGCACAACGGATATGGCTTGGAAAAATGAGAGGCGCTTGTTTTGTATTCCCCTTTGGCCGTAATTTCAAGTGCCGCGTTTTTTCATGTAATGTGGGTAAGCCGCCCGCCTGAGCTGCGCCTTTGTACTAAAGCTCAGGACTACGCGTTTCCCGCGCTGTGTTGCGCTGTCGAAGGTCCAGGAACGTGAAAGAAGCTAACTGTAAAGATGGCAAGTCTACTGGACACTTCTAAACCAAGAATAAACTGCTCTATGCTGTCACAGCACATTGGCAGAGGTGTCTGCTTCGTTGGGCGCGTTGAAAAGGTGGGTTTTGGCTGGTGCTTGTTAAACTATTTTTAATAATTATAAATATGGATTAACCTACACCTGCATATATGCACTGGCCCACTCTGTTAACAGCAAGGACATAAAGTATTAGTTTTGCTTTTCTTGACCAGGTTCACCCAACAGGAAAAACGTTCAGTGTGTCTGATGGAGAAGGAAAGAGCGCTACGGTAGAATTGAACGAACCTGTGAGTACTGCCATAATTTATGGCATCAGTTTGCCTACACGTTTCAGGGTGAGCGGTGCTGGTGGTACGAAGTATGTGGTACAACTGGTCTGTGGACCACTCTTGTTTGCTTGTACCGTTGTTGTTGGTCATATTCTCCGCGTAGGAGCTTCGCTCGCCGCCGCATCGTCATCACACAGTCACTTCTATTTATGCCTGCCCGCACAGGGAGTCGCTGCAGTATTCTGAACGACGTGTCGGATAAGATCAACTATACAGCTGTGACTGTAATTATGAGGGGAGATTTCAGTGTTAATGATCAATTCCTAGATAGATTTCCTCCCAAATACAGCACTCATAACTTTATTCTGTCACAGTTATGTAGTTAGTCACAGTATGTTTCTTTCTGTGGTCAACACTACACATTTAATCAGTGATGGGAATAAGAGCGTGGGGAACATCACAAGCCTGACACCTGCAAGCTTGCCCATATGGAAAAATATATATAAATCTTATAAAGTTTGTATCTGTCTTGTGTGAAACTTGTATGAAAAGCATACAAGAGTGAAAACAGATATAAGATCCCTTGAAAAATTATATAATGAAACTTGTATGTTTTGGATACTTACTAAAACAATATATGAAAGTAATGAGAAAGTGGCCACTTTCATGAGTAAATCATAAGTTTTTACTATTTCTTTTCCATATGGGCCTTTATCTTATAGTGGACAGAAATTATATTTTGAAGAGGCACCAATAATTTATGTCCCATCTTATTTGATGCAGAATACCTGATTGTTCTGAATAGTTTGAAATGGTTGTTAGAAAAATGCATTGGCTGCATTTTTAGGTAAATAGCTGCATTTAACTTTGTTGTTTGCAAAAACTGTGCATAGGTTTTTAAAATGTACAATTTCTGTTTGCATTTCAAGTTATGAAAATAAAAAACGTAACTCTTCTACTCGTATTTTATGTTTTTAAGTCTGATTTTTAGATTATTGTGCTAATACAGAATGCCAAAATGGAAAAACTAACTGTAAATTCAGACATGTGAGGTTGTGCTGAAAAGAATGATACCAAACAAGCCAAGATGAACAGTTTTTAACGGTGAAATTTAGAGGTAAATGAAAAGTAGTCAGAAACAGCCAATTATACCCTGGACCCCACAGGGTTAAACTTTTTTTTTTTTAAAGTAATGCTATAGTTACTTTACCAAGTAATTAGTTACTTTTAGAATATAGTAACTGAGTTACTAATTCACTTACTTTTTAAAGAAGTAACTATTACTAATTACCTTTGCAAAGTAACTTGCCCAACACTGCATTTAACAAACAAAGAGCATATCAATAAAAAAAAAAGCAAGAATTCACGAGACAAAATAAAAGAACTGAAATTAAAAAGGCTGCTCTTTTGTGCTTATAACATATACAAATTGAAACAAACAAACAAATCAGTTAAGATACATCAAGTATATTCGATATATCCGCCCACCCGTAGTTGGTTGCAGTTGATAGACTTACATTAGTTTGTTAGCTAACTAATAAGAGAACAGTGGAGTCAAGGAGACTAAAACAAAAAACAGTCTACAGGGGTCAGTGTGGGCTGCCCATGGCTGCAACAATGAGTTTTCTGTTAAGAAACCTACTCTAGAAGTATGTCCTATTTCAGGCAAGAATGAAATTCAATTAGAGCATTAAGGATTAAGAGGATTAAGGATTACTGGACAAATGAGTACAGACCAAGCCTTGATTGCTAAAGATGTAGCTTTGCTTTATTATATTAATCTGCCTACATCTATATTGTTTTAAAAGTATATAAAAATAAATTTAACTGAATTGAAAGTCTTGAGCAGAGATTGTTGACTTTCAATAAACACAGGGGGGATTAAAATATTAATGCAAAATGAAGGTGGAGTGTTGGCAAAATGGCTGGTTTAAAATTTCATTCAGAAACTTTCAATAACTATTTGGTTCTTTTCTTAGCTTGAAGAAGAGCTGAGTGGCATTGTGGAGGTCATTGGTATGGTGTCCAGCAAAGGAGTAATAACCACCACCACATACAACATCCTACGAGAGGACAAAGGCATTCCCTTTGGTACGTCTCTCTAGACTGATTGAGTAAAGTTTTGTTCCTGACCTGTGACTCACAGTGTGCTGTGTCTGCTTATCCCACAGATTTGGAGCTGTATAATGAAGCCCTGAAGGTCATTCACGACTTTCCTCAGTACTACCCATTTGAAGTGGCTGCAAGTGGATGAAGATTGGCTTCATTGTTTTTGTGTCTCGTTTTACATGTTGGAGAGAATAGTGTGGTACAAAATATTTGCATTAAAATGAAAACCTTTGTTAATCACATGTCACTGAAGGTTCTTTTTTCTTCTTTTTTTATGATAAACTGTAAAATAAGTGGGTAATACTTTATGTACTCAAATATAAACAAATTTAAAAGACACAATAGAGTGACAGCAACAGCAGAATTTCATGTCCACAGTGCCACAGACTGGAATTTACAGCACTTGAATGGGAAATGTTCAGCTGGCTAATTTTACTCTTGTCAGTTTCAGCTAGTTTCACATTATGTTTAGCTGAGCTTTCAAACCAATCGGAGAGTAGAATGCGTTACACTTCATAATTCATTTGTAATACATTTTCTTGGCAGCACAAGAACTAAGAGTCATAAAAAGGTTAAATGTAGAGACAAAATATAGAAGCTGAATGGCTTAACCAGGGGTCAGCAACCTTTAACACCCAAAGAGCCATTTGGAGCCGGTTTCCACGCAAAAGAAAACACTGGGAGCCGCAAATACTTTTTGATATCTAAAATGAAGATAACACTGTATATATTGTTTTTTTACATTTATGCTTTGTGTGAACAACTAAGGTGTGCTGCTTATGAAATCCATAAAGTGCTACAGAGAAAATTACATTTTATTTATGTAATTAACACATTTTGAACTGAAAGAAATATAACAAAAGGAAAGCTGAGCTAAAATGATCCAGCAAACAAAAACTGTTGTGAGCCGCCAGCCTTATATCGTCTTTGGGCTTTTGGAGCCTTGACCTGACTTTAAAAAAAAATAATTGAAGAAAAAAACATTCTGCCTAAATACGTATTTTACCTGGTTAATGTGTGTGGCGGGGCGTGGTCTGCAGCGCCGCTGCAGGGGAGGCGACGCACCTGAGCGGCACCCGCAATCACGCCTCGTCGCCTTAACGTCTGTGCCATCTATGCTGTTGTGTTGGTGTGTGTCGGGCTGTGTGCGTACAGCAACCGTGTGTGAAAAGTGGTCCATAAAGAGATGCTGAAAAGCGTGTTCATGCAAACATCGTCGGGTCTGCCGTGATATGTTTACAACGGGACTTCTGCTCCTGAACCTCTGCGCACAGCGTCTGCAAATCGGGGCTGTACGAAGTCACTTCATCTTTACGCAGGACTGTAAGCTGTCCTCTGTGAGGCGTGAGCGTGTTTGTTTTTAACATAGTTCACGGTGAAGAACAGCTGCTGACGTAATGTGGATCCGAAGATCCATAACTGGCCTACTTGGGGTTGAAAGTCTCGATAAAGGCACGCCGTTTCGGCGGATACACCGGCTTCCGCGAGTGTGACGCTTATTTTGAGCGATGAAAAAATAATAGAATATAATTTTATTTTTATATTTCAATATCACAATAATCTTCCAGTTTAGAACTACAAGTAAAAAAAACAGAACTAACATAAATAAAATACAGCTAAATACTTCTAATTTGTTTTCCCAAACCACGCGGAACCGCAGTATAAGGACTAAAGAGCCGCAGGTTGCCGACCCCTGGGCTTAACAAACCCAGTTGCTAACAGGAAAAGAAATTGCGTCGAGGTAATTGTATTGGAAAGGAGGAGTGGAATAGCCATTTTAAATGTTTTGCTGCTGCGATACATTTAGTCTCAGTTTTAGCAAAGTTCTGTAATGCTCTACATTCCTTATTACTAAAATTACTGTTGTAACAAATTTCCAAAGCTAGGCTAGGATAAATAAAATATTTTTTTGCCTTCTTTCTACACTCCCCCCACCCCCCCAACAGCAGCCAAAAACAGTAACCACTTCTGTTATGAGCGTACTTGGCAGCAGAGGACAGTATAATCAGAAAATTTACCCTGAACAGAGAAGTGTTACAGAGGCATGGGCCAAAAGTACCTAAAAATAACAGGTTCTGTTATGTTGAAAAATATTTTTTGGGTGCAACAAATGATGGGAGCATAGAAGCTAAAGTGAAGACCTGTAATATGAACACATATTGGTTGTTTGGTTCCAGAACAACTGTTCTCTGAACTGTTCTAATAATAATGGATTGCATTTATAGTGCTTTTCGAGGCCCTCAAAGCGCTTTAAAATTCCACTATTCATTCACTCACATTCACACACTGGTGGAGGCAGACCAGAGTCGTAGCCACAGCTGCCCTGGGGCAGACTGACAGAAGCAAGGCTGCCATATCGCGCCATCGGCCCCGATTTGACAGCAAGTAAGATCA